CTGAATATCCTCATAATTTTCCTTTTATTCCTAAAACAAAATCAATGCAGAAGAGAGATCTGCATTAATCTCTACAGGATTGTAATATTCTTATGATCCTAGTAATCAGAAGCTACATTAGAAGGACCTAAATGATAAGCCCATTCTATTTTCTACTCTCTGAGATGCTTCCTTGGCTCAAATATTCTTCCTTTCACTAAAAAGTATGAGGCTGTACATGTACAACCACAGGGCTGTAAGAGAGAAAAGAAATCAGCTGAGCACATCCATTTAATACAACAAAGGGAAGCACCTCCATTGTGATTCCCCCAACCCCCACCCTCCCCAAACCCAAATATTGTAAGGAAAAATGCACATACAAGAAAACATCTGATTTTTCCTCCCTCTCATGTCATCCAAATAAACTAAATTACTGGGTTAGAGAATAAACTGAATATGAACAGACTTTAATTTTGGAAAATGAATAAACATATTTCTTAAATATAATGGCATGGCCTTAGTGGGGACATCTTTTTAAAATTAAGAACAGTGTCGCTCTGCTTTTAAAAGGAAAGTGGAGAGGAGGCAGCAGCTATTTTTAGAGCAAAGCTGGTACCTGCAAGTGGAGAGTGATGACATGTGGAGCCTTCTCTCACCCGCCCCACCCCCGGGAGTCCTGGCGGCCAGCAGCCCAACTGCTCTGGGAGCGTCAGGGGCTGGGAAGGGGAGCACACACTCTGAGAGCAAATGCGGGCTCTGAACACCCCTCCAGGCCAAACATAAATTACTTCTGTACTAGTTACTTTGGACTACTGAGTGCCTTTTTTCACCTTGGTAGAGGACACCTTGAAGTATGTGGTATCAGGAGAAGCGACTCAATCCACGTAGGACTAACTAGTACAGCTTCTCCTCTTCACAGCACACCCCTGCATTTTTTTTTTCGTTTACTGCACTTAGGGAAAAGGAGCCAGGAAGTGTGGAAGGAGCAGTTAAATTAAGCTACAAAATCCAGAATTAGGCAGGAAATATTTGCTGAGAATCTACAGTATGTGGCACATGGTGGACATAAAAGTAAAAGACAAGGTCCTTGTTCTCAAAGGAATGAAGTTTTTGTGGGATAGATAGATAAGTAATCAGATAAAACTAATATAGTTTAATAAGGGCTATGATATAGTCATGTACAAGAATCAAGGAAAAGGTTAAAATGGGTGAAGAGGGATTTCCTGAATACACAGGAATTAGTGTTTCTACATTTCAGGGACTTGGGCCAAAAACGTGCTCATCAAAAGGTGACAATGAACCCAGGCAGAATGATAAAGCTGGATTATATCAGAAATGACAGAATTGGAAGTTTAGAGCCAATTGGGGTACCCAGAGCTGTACTTAAATCTTTGTCTCTTAAAGCAATGGGATTTTCAAAGCCAAATCTCATTCACCAGAGACTGAGACCAGAGTAGACAGTGCCTTTCAGAGCAGGAACAAAAATTCTGATGAAATTATTTTTATGCATTCAGGTCAGATTTAAAAAAAAACCAAACCTGCAAAACTCTTAAATGCCCAGTTTCTTACCTACTCGGAGACAGAAAAAAATTTACCTCTTGGCATACATGAAGAGACCGAAGCTTACAAGAATCACTATCAAGTAGACATTGGTGGCTTCATTCCAGGCTTCATGAACAGTGTAATCAATAGAACCATCATCACCCATCACTCCATAAGCTCCAGCCATGGGGCTGTAAGAGAGAAAAAAAAGTAGGGTTTCTTTTAATTAGTAATGGTATGACCATCTGGAGAAGGGTTAGCAAACATATGGCCTGCTGGCCACACCACCTGTTTTTGTATGGTCCAGGAGCCCAGAAAGGCTTTACATTTCTAAATGGGTACATTTTAAATGATTGTAAGTACCTACATAATATCCTCAATTTTGCCCCACAGCCCACAAAACCTAAAATATTTACAATCTGGCCCTTTAAGAAAAAGTTTGCCGACCCCTTGTCTAGATCATTAAGGCACATAACAATTTCCTCTTATTTTCAACTTCGAAACATTATAGCTCCTACATAAGGGTTAAAACTTGAGATAAAAAAAATAATATTACTAAAAGGACGGAGGCTGAAACGCACAGTTTCCAAATTTTAACTATCACCCAGATGGAAAGCAACAGAATAAAGCACAGAACTAAACAACTGGCTGTGTTAATAACAGAAGAGTGTTGCCCTCGAGACAGCAGCCTAGGAAAGATGTGACGGCCATAGCAATGCTAGTCCAATGCCTCCCAACACCACTGGAAGACATTTCCAGCTTTATCCAGTTCTGGCCTGCTGGCCAAATTTGATTGAAAGAAGCTAGGGGATAAAAGTTACTTTTTGCTATTTACACAGCTGTGACCTGTATTCAAGGAAATGCATTCTCTGGACATTCCCACAGAAAGTAATAGTGGTAACAGCAAGCATATCCAACAGCAAGTAAAAGAGTACAGGCTGCTTACCTGTGTTTGAGAAGTTAATTGAATTTTTTCCTTAAACAGCAAGTTCCTCCCTTGTATTGGGTCTAAGTAAAATGACTTAATATGTGAAGGAAATCCATGTGTTGTTTTAGACACTCTTTAAAAAGAGAAACTAAACAAGTGATTTGTGGTAAGTGTACTGTAGTTTCTAAGAACAGGCAGTCATTTTCTGATACCAAGAAAAAGAGTATCTGGAATGTCCGAATTGTTTTACAATTTTTTCTAGACTGCCTACAACAATGAAAGCATTGAAACTAAACAAGTGATTTGTGGTAAGTGTACTGTAGTTTCTAAGAACAGGCAGTCATTTTCTGATACCAAGAAAAAGACTATCTGGAATGTCCGAATTGTTTTACAATTTTTTCTAGACTGCCTACAACAATGAAAGCATTACTGAAATTCTTCCACTAAAACATCTTGCAGTCCTTTCTGTAAGCCTCCAAAATGTTCATTATTGTAGATTTGGCTCAGTAAGTTAATAAGTATGTATTGAGGGCAGAGCCTGTTTTCTTTCTTCTAGCTCGCCTCTGTGTAAAATAAACGAAATTTCAGGAGAGGTCTGCTCCTAAGCCAGGTGGCACGTTTTCTCCTTTCTGACATCTGAAGGCCTTGTCAGATGTTTAGAGACACAATGTATTCATTTAGGATAAAGTGAGTATCATGAACAGCCATCTAACTCTTGATATTGAGGGCCAGAGTAATTTCTCTAAAACACCAATTGGTGTCTGATCAATATAAAAATTAGTCTCATGAAAATTAGCCAGGGAACAATAAAAATAGAACTTACTTTAAATTATAAAAATTTATAGATGCAAGATCTAAATATTATTTAAACATCAAACTATATCCAATTCTACCCAATTCCTAGATATTAAAAACTGGAGGCACAGGGGTATTTGGCATATTCACAGTTTTAATTCTTATCCCTCAAAATTGAACTCCAGAGTTTCTCTGAATGTTAACATTATGACTTATAGTAAGAAATCAGCCCACTTTAGGGACAGAGACATTTAGAAGACTTAGAAAACCAGACACTATAACCGTCTTAATGACTTATGGAATCTCAAACTTTGTTGGTGCCAAAATGTAAAATAATAACAATGACCGTGTTTGACAAAAAAAGGATGACTGCAAACCTATGACAAGATGCTGCAGAAGGCCCGGACAATTATACAGCATGGATAGTAGCTTTCAGGGCTGGGAGATATTAACACACTGGGGAAGAAACAGGGAACAATGGAATAATGGCCACTAAAACATTTCCCAGGTGCTGGGCTTATTGGAGAAATTGCAAAAGTGTTTCTTAATGTGTTTTCTAATGCCTGAGTGGAACTGAACCAGGCTAATTCCTTCCTTCAATTTTTCACAAAATTCTTTCCATGTGCCACTCAGTAAATGATGTATTCTTACGCAGAACTTGACTTCCTTCTGCTACAAATATGCCAGTCTTAATTTAGAAAAGGATTTTTAATTACTGCTGACCCAGAATGGTAAAATTTTAACGTGAATTATACAACATATATTATACAACACCATTGGCATGCAGTGACGCTACTATTCCATGGCTCCAGGGACATGCACTTGAGTTATTTTTAGTAGTGTAGTTGTGAAAGAGTTGCACTGAGGGTAGGCCTTTCCTGCCCAGTCCTCCATCACAACCAATGACATGGCTTTGTAAGACTGCCAGGAATAAGGAATGGTCTAGTTCAGAGTCATAGCACAGGCCAAAGACCAACTTGTAGCCTGAACTATGACCACGCCCTCCCAACGTGCCAGTCTAAGGGTACACACATTCACCTGTTGAGTGCTTACTGAATACCACCACAGTCTTCCTCTTGAGACTAAAGCAAAATGCCCAGCAGTATTACAATGGTTTATTCCCAGCAAGTTAATGTTTCAGCAAGATTACCGATATAGCTAGTCATGTATTTGGAGTTTCACTGAATGATCTTTTGAGTAAAATGACCTTTTTAATATTTTTCCTATAATGTAATGCTTAAACTATTTCACGTAAGGAGATGCTAGGATGAACTGAATTAAGTCTCAAGTAAACACAGGTAACCTGAGATAAAGTTGCCAAAATGTGACAACTAGGGCTTGGTTTCAGATTGATAAACTTTTAGGTTGAGAACGAGACCTTTTCTAGGGACCACATGACTATCATAATTAGTGTCCTGATTTTGGGCTCCTGACACCACGTCTGGGTGGTTCTAAGACTGAGCATCTCTTGTCATCACGCCTTGAATGGTATCATTTTTGTCTCTCACTTAGAACCTTGTTATTTGCTAATACAAATTCAGATTAGAATCACTTACACAGTTCCCTCCTTTCTGACATCTGAAGGCCTTGTCAGATGTTTAGAGACACAATGTATTCATTTAGGATAAAGTGAGTATCATGAACAGCCATCTAACTCTTGATATTGAGGGCCAGAGTAATTTCTCTAAAACACCAATTGGTGTCTGATCAATATAAAAATTAGTCTCATGAAAATTAGCCAGGGAACAATAAAAATAGAACTTACTTTAAATTATAAAAATTTATAGATGCAAGATCTAAATATTATTTAAACATCAAACTATATCCAATTCTACCCAATTCCTAGATATTAAAAACTGG